ATCAATAGGGTCTGGTTTCATAAGTAAATCCCGTACTATTGATGCGATATCTGGAGGAAGATGAGCAACTACATAATTATATTTAGTAATGGATTCTGTGATAGGTTTGGGGGGGTGGCAAGAGCAAAGGTACTTTCACACATAATAAACCATAAAGATGGGTCTGATCGGTTATAAACCGGAATTTGGACGGCATAAACATCAGACATTGTGCAAGGTTTTTAAGCCAAAATAAAAGCAAAAATTTAACTAAAGGAAATTAAATTAAATGATAAGTAGAAAACAGAATTATAAAATGATCTATAATTACTACTCATCTGTGATCCGGAGGACGAAAACCGATGTAATCCATTACTTCTGGTTTGGAGATCTTGAGTGATGGCTTGTAGTCAAAACCGAAAGTGCTTGAGAACTGTTCATACGATTTAACACAGTCCGGGTTACCATTATGGTGATTTCCTATTATGGTTTACCACCAGTCCTCGAATTCCATATCACAGATTATGTTCTTACTGCATTAATATAAATATTAACAAGACATAGTGCACAATAAAAGTTAAGCTTTATTTAGGAACTTCGCGCACACTGCCCGACAGCATATTTCACAAGTGCACATCTGTGTAGCCACCGAGGGAGTGGCTTCTAGGATGGACCAATGAGAATCCAGTAATATTTCTGTCATGTCACATGACCTTTGCGTGCTTTAGTATTTAAGCAAGATGGTCGGAAAATAGTTAAAGCATCGTCGATTACTTCTGAAACTTTTCATTGCGAAGTTAGATCAAATATAGGCAATTATGAAGATTTCACTACCTGGTTGAAATAAATACAAACACATGTTGGATACTTCGCAAAAATATCGATGTGAAATATTACTTAATAAGGGGTAAATAAGATGAAGAAAGAAATATGTGATAAATATCTGAGCCCAAATGCAATCTTTACATAAGACTATGCGTATGAGAAAAATATTTACACCAATTATACATGTAAATAGAAGTCAGCACTTTTTTATTGCAGTCTATATGAAAAAGCTGTTCTATAATAATAACCAATGCAGAATTTTTATTCAAAGTGAATTTTACTAATTTGCATTCGTATACATTTAGTGCTTTAGATTTCATCTTTAATAAATGTTCACTCTTAAATGTACTGTCTACACAAGAAATGCTCATCAAACAGAGTGAATTTATCGTATTCACAAAGAGTATATTCAATTTATTCACTTATAATTTTTAATGTTAACAATGGATATAATCAGATCATATGTATTCTGAATCTTACACTTTAAAAATCAAAAGACTGAAATAAGAAAACACTAGATTCATTGTAACACTTTCAGTCATTCTCAGCTCAATTAAAAAAAATATATACACTTGAATTTTCTTAATCCACATAATATGCCGTGAACATCAATCCTAATATTATGCGTGAAAAAATCGCGAAAGTGAAATGTCAGCGATTAATCAAACTCAGAAAATGTAAGCACTACGAGATTTTCCACTGTTACGCCATATATTTATAACTGCGAAACGAATGCAAATTATAACGTAAACAACATATGCTCACATGCACGAAGATTTAGCGTCACAAGAGCAATATCAGCTCATTGGTCCATTTTCGAAACCCCTCCCTCAGTGGCTACGCTGATGTGCACTTGTGAAATATGCTGCCCGACAGCCTGCCTGTTTCGCTCTGCTCGCTACTCGTAAGAAAGTTCTTCTCTAGGGTTGCCACACTTATCGGAGGGCGCAAGGCGCGCTCCTTATCGCCATCACCACAAATCTTTGAGACATTTGTTTCTGAGATCAGGCACCAATTCAAAGAAATGGAGAAAATCTGCTCCAAGAATGGGTGTACTAACATTTGCTATAAGAAAAGTCCATGTAAACTGTCGTCTTAATTTGAAATCCAAAGAAAGTGTTTTTTGACCATAAACATGAATAGTAGAAGAATTAGCAGCGAAAAGTGTTTGTTGGGACGAATTCCGTTTTTGAGAATTATTTGCTGGAAGTAAGGACACGTCAGAGCCGGTATCGACCAAGAATGAAAGGTTTGTTCTACGGTCACGAACGAACAGGCGACGTGAAACTTGAGGCAAAGAATAAGTCGCCTCTATTCTTTGCTGGTTTCGTTTCCCTGCCATGAACAAGGTTTTGTACATTTGTCATCTCTACACTTTTTCCCAAAACGTCTATGATACCATCAAACAGAATAATCTCTCCTTTTGGAATTGCTTCTTTCCTTATTGCGATCTCCGCGATTTGATGAGCGACCACGAGAAAGAGAAATGCGATCAATACGTTTGTTTAATTTTTCTATTTGTTTAAATAATTTATCCTCAAGAGACTGATCGACTGTGCGAGAAACGGCACAAGTCCCTGGGGTTGGATTTACTTCTAAAATTCTGTCGGCAATTTCTGCAGCTTTATCTACAGTTAAATTGGAAACCGCTGCCAAAATAGACTGAACAGTCGAAGGCAAACGTTGAAGGAATAATTCTAACATTAAGTTATCAGGAACATTTAAAGATTCTGCTCGACGTTTCATATTTCTAAAGCAAATCGGAAGGTTTTCGAGAACCTAATTCCTCTCCAGATAATAATTGGCGAATTTCTTGCTGAGAAGATTCTCCCGAACGATTTATTAACTCAGTTTTGAGCTTTGTATATGGATCAATAGGGTCTGGTTTCATAAGTAAATCCCGTACTATTGATGCGATATCTGGAGGAAGATGAGCAACTACATAATTATATTTAGTAATGGATTCTGTGATAGGTTTGGGGGTGGCAAGAGCAAAGGTACTTTCACACATAATAAACGATAAAGATGGGTCTGATCGGTTATAAACCGGAATTTGGACGGCATAAACATCAGACATTGTGCAAGGTTTTTAAGCCAAAATAAAAGCAAAAATTTAACTAAAGAAAATTAAATTAAATGATAAGTAGAAACAAAATTATAAAATGATCTATAATTACTACTCATCTGTGATTCGGAGGATGAAAAACCGATGTAATCCATTACTTCTGGTTTGGAGATCTTGAGTGATGGCTTGTAGTCAAAACCGAAAGTGCTTGAGAACTGTTCAGAAAGTGTTACGGCCTGATTTAACGCAGTCCGGGTTACCATTATGGTGATTCCTATCATGTTGTTACCTGTATGTTTTACCACCAATCCTCGAATTCCATATCACAGATTATGTTCTTACTGCATTAATATAAATATTAACAAGACATAGTGCACAATAAAAATTAAGCTTTATTTAGGAACTTCGCGCACACTGCCCGACAGCCTGCCTGTTTCGCTCTGCTCGCTACTCGTAAGAAACTTCTCCTCTAGGGTTGCCACACTTATCGGAGGGCGAAAGGCGCGCTCCTTATCGCCATCACCACATTGACTCTTATATACGTCACACATGAGAAAAACTACAAAAACGCCCATGCAGCCAGCCTGGTCGCGGTCTTCTAACCTCGGACCAAACTACCAATGTTCAATTTCGGCTTATGTGATTACGGTAAAGACTCGAGAGCTATATGCCTAAGAGGAAGGATGCCTTCGTGGAGGATTTCTAAGGGAAACTGGTTCGTGTACACATGGGGATAACCGCGAAAACGCCCATGCAACCAGCCCGTCCGCGGGATTCGAACCTCGGACCGAACTACCAGTGTTGGCCGCTCTTGGGCAAATGGTAGTTTGAAGGAATGCCATTGTTATGTGAATCATTATGATGAAAATAACGTTTTGTACAAGAAGAAAGATGTGTGTGCTTCTGGAGTAAGTATCATTTAGTTCATACAGAAAATACGCAATGTATTTCTGTTTCACTGCTTGATTAACTCAGTGATGTAAAAAGATAAAAAATACAGAATAGCTGGATGTCCTTTTTGTATTGATTTTGTATTTGATTTTGTATCTATGTCCTTGTTGTATTTGATTTTGTATCTATGATCGTGAAAAAGAATATCAGTACTTAATTTTGTAACAGTGTGCCTCATTGTGTTATACTAGTATTAATTAACTAGTAATAAAGTATGATAGTAAAATAATTAACCTTGTAATAAATTATGATAGTTAAATTAATAAATATTATGTTTAATTTGTGCTTTTAATACATATACTCAGTAATTAACACACACACACGTATATATATATATATATATGTTTTTTTTTGGGGGGTGCGGTCGTCGTCTTGTATTGTATATGGTTCTATGTTGTTTGTCTGCCGCTGTTTTTTGAAAAATGTATGAAAATGTTGGGAACGAAAATAGCATAAGTTACTTTAGTTAAATTAATATATGCTTTTGTTTGATGACTTTTGTTGATATCTCAGGATGCAAGCGTACATATTACTTTGTATTCCATGCTAAATACCTTGATACGAAGCATTTTAACACCGTCAATATTTTTTCCCCCCAGTAACACAGCTATTCACCACTACCATACACACTCACCGCACACACACACACCTGTGAGACACTATTTATTGTAAATGAAGACAGATTCTTCTCCTTTTAACTACACTCATGGACACAATCGTATGTTAGTTAGGATATTTTCTACTTTTTTTCCTTTTCTTCCTATAGGCCTTTTGTTCTTTCCTCTATTATTTTTGGGCCATTTATTTTAAATTTTATTTTGTCCCATCTTTTCTTCCTTCCCTTTTGAACTCGTACAAAATGTACGAAGTTCTTTTTTACTCTCCTCAAATACAAAATTTCCCACCTTTCTATATACCTTTCCTTCGCACCTATGCTTGATTTTTCGCCCATCGGTGCAGAAAGACTTAGCGGGTGCAAAACAAGACATCTGTCTACTTTGTCTGTCTGTCTCTCTGTTCCATATAGCAGTTTTGTTAATTTAAATTTTGTGCTTTGTGTTTTGTGTATTAAAACTTTATATGAAACTGCCCTTTCAGTGTTGTTCAGAGCATTCAGAATTCATTAATGGGCACTTTTGATATTTTATTTTATGTTGATTTATGACTTTTATTGTTACAGATGTGGTGTCATCTGGAATCCATCCTCTGACTAATGGTCATTCGACAGCAAACCGTACTGCGAATCACAGCAACCCCTCGCCACAGCAGAATTATTTTGTAGTGGTTGCTATCGATTTTGGAACAACATATAGTGGCTATGCTTTCAGCTTCACGCAAGATCCAGAAAATATACACATGATGAGAAAGTGGGAAGGTATGAGCAAAATACGATTTCTGGACCTAGAGACTATATATAAGCTTTAAGAAAGTGCAACTAAAAGAAATGAAAGTAGTAATTTCTTATACGCCTGCAATTTCAGATATTGAGGCTGCGTAAATGCATCCTTAAAAATATCATTTCGATATGTCATCCGTCAGTGCATCGAGTTGAAGATCAGTCTGTGTAGAAATAATGTATAATGTAAATAGTGTCTTTAATCACTATGACTATTTACCATAATTTATCACGTTTAAAATGCTTTTACATCTATGGATCACTTTTACATCCATTGATGTGTATTTAGGTACTGCAAATATAGTATTATTCTTTATGTCAACTGCATGATTTTGTTACTAGCATCCATTAACTTTACACCACTTGTAAAAAAAATTTAGCTGAGGTGCAGAGTTAACTAGCTGGTCATTAACTATAACTTTTCCTTCGTTGAAATCGTTTCAAGTTATTGGTATATAAGTTGCATGCGGGCCTCACTCATGCATTTCATCCATGGCAATCAAACTCATATTGCATGCGGGCGGAATGCCTGAAAGGTACTGAAAGGAATAACTTTTTTTAGCAAAATGAAAAGTGTTTTTAGCAAAAACGAAAATAAATAAATAAATAGAAAGCTTTTTAATCAAAATCAAAATTTTCTTAACTAAATTTTAAATTTCGCATACTAAATATTCATCAAAACATAACATAAGCAATACTAATTCTAATAACGCAAAATAAAAATTCAAATTTGTTTTCTATATGGAATTTAAAGGTTGGTATCTGCAACATTAGCTACGTTTGTAATTCGCTCAAAAGCAACATACAAAATTTATTCATAGTTTCAAACATAGGCATTGATGTAAGGTCGATCTAATAAAAAGCACCAATAAACAGAATTCACAATCCGTATATTAGTTTATCTCTGTCTATATAGCAATATGAACTGTGCAGCCGTGCAACCAGCAAACCAACTACTAGTTGACTGAAGAAAAGTATACATCAGAACTATAAACTCTATAAAAAACCAGAAAACCAGGCTATTGAAGCGCTACATTTTGTCGCCAGCCAACTAAGTTTACTGATTACACTTATGTGGGAAGTTCTCCCACCTTGCCCCAGTCACTTAGTTTAGCATAAAAGCATACAGTGACAAAGTCCCGTACTATTCTATCTTTGTTCTGTACTTAGCAGCGTCTATAGAAATGAACAAGCAGATTTCCTGGCACGGAAAGATGCATAACTATTACATTCAACAAACTCAAATATGTCATACCACTCAGTAAATCTAAATATAAAACCGTCTATGACAGGCATCAGCCGAAATTGTTGGACAACATTGAAACAATAGAAGGCTACGATCTCGCTTGCGAGACAAAATATCCACAACGTAATACCGTGGCCCCTTTTCGTCTACTTTTACAGGTCATGATTGCCTTGAGCGAACATCTTTACGGATTTGGTATATATTTACTCAACCATTTTGCCCACTCTGTGTTCTTACGGAACTTGTAAACAGAGCCCACCTTCGTCGCCGATACTGGCTGACCAAGATTGTCTTAGGCAATGACTTTCACTTATTTCTGTTACGTTTATTCTTTTAATTGCTTGTTGTTTTTTGCCTTATCATTCAAAATTTAAAAAAAAATCTTTATTCTGTTCAACATATAATGATATGCCGTTGTTATAATGAACCAATCGCATAAGCTCGATTCATATCTTTGTGTCTCTAAAACTGCGAGCACGATATATTTATAATAATACATAATTGAAATGTATTCGAGGGTTATTTAAAAATTTCTTCGGGGGACGCATGTGGACTGCAAACTGGCTGGTATAGGCAAATTTTATTACAAGCAGGTATATACTCTTAATGGCAGTCTGTTTAAAAAAACAGACTTGATTATTGGAGACAGCGCATTTATAGAGCGGCACTAAATTTTTAAGAGAAATTGCTATTTTAGAATGCGATAATAATGTTTATGATAAAAATCTTGCAGTTATCATGTCGTGAAAAATCTTCTGTAACGCATAATTTATATGGAGATTTTGGTGACTTTCAGCTTACAATAGAATTTTATGTGGTATTAGTACTTTTTGTTACCGTCTTTCTCTCAGATAGATTCCTAAGGAAATAGATGTTTCTAACTATTAATAAAGTTCTGGTATTCGCAGTTTAAAGCAACGAAATTAAAGTCTAGGTACTTGGAAAACTCATAGATTCATTCTATTACATTTAAGGAATCAAATCATCAAATCGGGATTATTTGTAGGGTTTATATTTATTTTAACTAACATTTATTTTAAGTTTAAACTATCTTTCCTGTCAATCCTTACTTTCCCCTGGAACTGCCAATGCCAGAATATGTAAATTTGAGTAGAACGCGCAAGCATTCAAATTATCAGCGGAAGTAGTATGATTTAAAAAGAAGGAAACAAGTTCGGTGAGAGAGAGTTATTCTTACTTAGCGAGCGCGGAGGTAGTTATAGAGATTTGAAAAACCCCGCGTTGCGGCCTATGTGCTTGGCGGGAAGTAGTTGCAATTGTTCCAGTGAACTTCAAGTCTGCTGAATTAGCAGCCGTATTGTAAAACGCGGTGAGATAGTTATTTGAGAGAGCCTCGTAGTTAGAATATTGTCTTTAATTTCTTTTCAGGTTTTTATTTTTATTTTGACTGCCGAGTTGGCACCGTTTGTAAGCGTCAAGAGAACGCAATTGTAAATTAGTACGTTGAATAAAAAGGGACTTAAACCCTTTATAAGACTCTGTGGTTTATACAAGCTTTCACAGTCATCTCTTGGTTGCGTGCTAGTTAGAGGCGCGCAACGTATATTTATTGGCGCCCGAAACACTTATCGAACTGAAATGGCCGAAACTGGATGGAAGCCGCTGGACAACACCAAGAAATGACAACGCAGTTAGAAGGATTTGGATACCTGGTCCAGACTTTGAGAGCATCAATCAAGCCAAACGTCTATTTCGACGGAAAAAATTCGGTGTCCGTATTTTTAGAAGGTATAGAAAACCACTTTCAGCTCTATCCTGTGCCCGAAAGACAAAAAGTTGCTATCGCCACATCAGCACTAAGAGGACAGGCCGCGCTATGGTGGAAAAATATAGGCAAATTTTCTTCTAGGTGAATTTGGAAGCCCGACGTATACTTTTGAAAATTTCAAAAAAAATCGTTAGTAAAGGCCTTCCCCATAGTGAAAGATCGCGCACGGCTGGAAGCCGAGCTATATAGTTTCTATCAACGGGATACAGCACAATTGACGGACTTTATTTTATTTACGAAAATCAAGCTAACGGATATGTTGTATGGGAAAAAACCCGATGCGGAGATTATTGAAATAATATTACCAAGATTGTTACCCGCTGTCCAAGACTACTTTGAAATTAGAAACCCAACCACATTGCAGGAACTTTTCGAATTGGCGGTGAAGTTTCAAAATCGCAGAATCGCGGAAAGAGCGAGAGGGGAAACATATTCTCAAAGTACCAGAAGGAAGGAGGAAACAAGAAATGGAAATCGCTCATATGGGGGAAAGAACTATCAAGCTAACGCATCGAAACTTGAAGGGCAAGGCCCAAAAAGAAAATTTGAAAATAAGCATCCGCGTACCCAGAAGACACAGACTGAAAGGAAAGCTTTAAACGAATAGAGGGGCCTGTGAAAGGGAGGGTCCAGACCCCGGAAGTTTTAGAAAAACCCTCAAATAGACATCTAAATACAGTCATCGTAAAAAACTCACAGCTACCAATTATACAAGTCCTGGTTGGCGATGTACCAGTAGAAGCCCGTCATCGATACAGGAGCAGAAGGTACTTTTATGAGTGAAAAGTTCTTCAAAAAGAATTTTTTATAGGATACGACTCTTTAAAAAAAACCAAATACGGAAATTATAGCGGCGCAAGGAGAAACATGTCACTGCATGGGAAAGTAGCATTAAACGTACAGGTAAAAGAGGAAATCTCAAAGTATTAATTTTTGTGGTGAAACACCTCCAACACTCTCTTATTTTAGGTATGGACTTTTTAAGGGCCGCGAGGGCCAAATTAAATTTTCAAGATAGTTCCGTGGTGCTGGAGATGGACCAGAGGGTGGTGGAAACCGGTGGAGACACCTGAATTGGACCTTAGCCATTTGAATGACCAGGAAAGTAAAGCAATACAGCAAGTGGTGAGTAATTTTTCTCATTTGTTTTCAGAAAAAGCCGGGAAACTGTCAGATTGTAACTCACAAGATTCAATTAAATGCCGAAAAACCTTGTAGGACTAAACCTACCGCTATGACAAACAAAAAGACGTAATCATCGAAGAACATATTCAGGAGATGTTAAAGAATAAAATAATAACGCCCATAAATAGTGAATACGCGAGTCCAGTCGTACTATGTAGGAAAAAGAACGAGTTTCCTCCTTCGGATAAAAGGGCTTGGAGGTTTGCTATCGATTATAGAAAACTAAATAGCATAACTAAATTCCCAGTTTTACCCTTTGCCGGTTATAGACGAGATCATTAGACAGATCAAATCGACGAGATATATGTCTACTTTGGACTTAACGTCTGGCTACTATCAAATAGCTATGAGACCCGAAGATATACATAAAACCGCGTTTATAACAAAATCGGGCACTTATGCATTTTTACGCATGCCTTTTGGGTTGTGTGGGGCCCCGTCAAGATTCCAGAGAGCTATGGACATTGTTCTAAAGCCTGTCCTAGGAAAATCAACTTTAATTTATCTAGATGATATAATTATAACGAGTAGTACGTTGGAACAACACATTATGATCTCGAACAAGTTTTTTAAATTATTAAAAGAGGCCGGTCTTACAATTAACGCCTCAAAATGCAAGTTCGCAACTAAAACTTAAATATCTCGGTTATAAAATTTCGCAAAAGGGTATAGAAACGCAAGATTCAAAAATAAAAGCTATTAAGAATTTCCCACCGCCCAACACCGCCAAGAAACTTTCGTCTTTCCTTGGACTATGTT